TAAATATATATATTTTATATATATATAAAATATATATATTCTTTTTTTTAAATTAACATTGCTAATGTTATTGGTGTCTTCACTGGATGTATTTGACTGCTGTGGACTTGAGTTGGGAGGAGAATGTCCCTACCCAGATCCCAACAGGGAGGAGGATGGCGGGGGAGACTCTGGCATGATCTTTCGGTCCCTCTTAGGAAAGCCAGGGTCGCCTTCCCTGCCCAGGAACGTGCGTGGCCAGGGCATGGGGGCAAATTTGGCCTGCTTTTGGGAACACCGACAAACCCAGCCCTGGCCCCAAGCCTCTACCCCGAGTCACATGGACAGACGGCAGGTACAGGGACGAGGGCACTGGCTCCGACCAGGAGTTTGGGGAGCCTCAGGACACTGCTGTACTTTGGGGATCCTCTCTGCAGGCTGCACGGGCATCCTGCCCTCAGGGGCACTGCCTGGAAGATTCACGAGACCGGGCAGCCTTCACCTACTCTTCACTGGCTCCCGAGATGCCCAGGGCACCGCTGCCAACAGATGTCTTGGCAAAAAGAAGAGAGACATTGGTGGAGGAAGGGCCGCCTGGCGGCAGCTTGTCCTCCAAGGAGAAGGCCTCCTGCCTTGGCCTTCTCCCAGTTCCCTTTCCTGGGTGCAGCCCAGGAGGGCCTGATGTCCTCAGACCATTGAAACCACTAGTTCTGTCCCTCCCCAGGAGACCTGGCTGTGTGTGTGTGAGTGGTTAACCCTCCTCTGTCCCCAGACCCGACCCTTCCCGCGGCACAGAGAGACAGGGCAGGATCCACGTGCCCACCACGGAGGCAGAGAAAGTGTTTTATATATGGTACTTATTTAATATCCCTTTTTAATTAGAAATTAAAACAGTTAATTTAATTAAAGAGTAGGGTTTTTTTCAGTATTCTTGGTTAATATTTAATTTCAACTATTTATGAGATGTATCTCTTGCGCTCTCTTGCTCTCTCTTATTTGTACTGGTCTGTGTGTGTTAAGATTCATGTTTCCAATCTCTTATCTCCCTGATCGGTGACAGTCACTAGCTTGTCCTGAACAGATATTTAATTTTGCTAACACTCAGCTCTGCCCTCCCCTTTCCCCTGGCTCCCCACCACACATTCCTTTGAATTAAGGTTTCAATATACATCTACATACTATATATATATTTGGCAACTTGCGTTTGTGTGTGTGTATATATATATATATATATATATATGTTTATGTATATATGTGATTCTGATAAAATAGACATTGCTATTCTGTTTTTTATATGTAAAAACAAAACAAGAAAAAATAGAGAATTCTACATACTAAATCTCTCTCCTTTTTTAATTTTAATATTTGTTATCATTTATTTATTGGTGCTACTGTTTATCCGTAATAATTGTGGGGGAAAAGATATTAACATCACATCTTTGTCTCTAGTACAGTTTTTCGAGATATTCCGTAGTACATATTTATTTTTAAACAGCAACAAAGAAATACAGATATATCTTAAAAAAAGCATTTTGTATTAAAGAATTTAATTCTGATCTCAAAGCTCCTCCTGATTTCTCCTTCTCCATTGGGTCCTTGTTCCAGACTCTCTTCTGCCCCCTTTCCCTCCTCCCTTGGGGAAAATGGCATTTGTCTTAGGTCTGGGAAAGGGGGGTCCCAGGTATGCAGGCAATGGGTGGCCCACCTTCTTGTGCTGGGGGCCACAGCGCTTCCGTTCTGGCTGAGCAGGTCCTGGAGGACCCCGTCCTCCCTCTGCCATGATGTGGGGGGGGAGGAGCTCTGCAATGGGGGAGGGAGAAACAGCACCTTAGAGAGGAGCCAGGGCCTGCAGTGAGCAGTGCCGCCTTCAGGAATCACATGATCCAGGCCCGGTCCCTTGGTCGGGGAAGGAACTGGCCATGTGTCTGAGCTTGCTGCCCAGGGGACAGGAGAGGGCTGAGGTTGGCTGTGGGGTGCTCATGGGGCCCCAGGGTGTAATTAAATTTTACAGAGTGGGTCCTGGAGTTCCTCGATCCTCTGGAAGGTGGACCCGCAGCTCTGGTGGCCCTTAAGAGGACGCCCTGCCCTGCCTTGTTGTGTAGGCCCTGCTCTCCCGTGGTCCTGGCCAGGGTAGATGCTGTCTAGGTCTTCGGCATTTATGAGCAAGGCTTCCAGATCCACCTCCTCTCGCCTCTCTTGTATCCCCTCAAGCCATATTTATTGGGCCAGCCCCCATGCTAGGGCAGAGGATGCTCTTACAAATAAGACAACTGCCGTCCTTATAAAGTTCTGGTGAGGGTGGCCGAGGAGTCACAGAAACTATAAATCCATGAATAGAAAGATACATAACATATGAGGGGGCATCTGCTCAGCTTGGGATGTATTGGGGGTGGCAGAGTCTGGGCGTCTTCTCCTGACGTTACCTCTCAGTAGCTCCTTAAAGAATGGGTAGGAGCAGATAGAACAGGGAGGGGAGGGGGGACAGTTGAAGCAGATATCCCAGGCAGAAGGCGTGGTATGAGCAAAGGATTGAGGGGGGACTCCGGCGGGCAGTGGTGAGGCATGGAGGCAGGAGAGAGGCAGGGTTAGCTCGCAGGGAGCCTCTGGCCTGTCAGGGATGAGCAGCAATTGAGGGGTTTTAAAAGCACCCCAGCAGTATGGTAGGCCGGCGGCAGGGAGGCCAAAGGAGGCTGTTGCATCCCTCCAAGGGGAGGGGCGGAGGGGGTAGTAGCAACTTCTGCCTCTCCTGGCTATACTGTGAGGAAGATGGGAGGCCAGGTCCCTGACCCACAGAGCTTTTGGTCTAGTAGGCGCTTTGCACCTACCGGGTCTTCCATTGGTTAACACGGAATCCACACCACAGCCCTGTGCGGTAGGGGCTCTCGTCATCCCAAGTGGCTATTTGCTGGAGCCTCTGAACGGCCTCCCAATTCTTTCACCCCCACCCCCTTTAAGCTGATTCTCACACCACAGCCAGAGTGAGCCTGTGAAAACTGTGAGCCAACTCATGTCACCGTTCGGCTCAAAACTCTGCAGAGACTCTATTTCACTCAGAGAAAAAAATAATAGTCCATACGTTGGCCTGAAGAGGCCCTGCACCAAAGGAAGTAGAGGCCTGAAGAGGCCTCTGCTTCCCTGACTCTATGACTTCTGACCCCCCTTGGTCACTCAGCAACAGCTACTATGGCCTCTCTGTCCCTCAGAATGTGGGTGCTCTCCCACCCCAGGGCCTTTGCACTGGCTGTCCTCACTTCCTGGAGCACTCTTCTCCTAGCTGTGGCAACGTGGGGCTCCCCTACCATCAAGTCTTGTTACCTTCTCAGGGAGGCCACCTTGACCACTTCTTTTACAATTGACACCCCTTCCTCACTCTGCACTTGGGTCCTCCTTTTTACCACCCCATCTTTCCCCCCATAACGTGTGCCATCTTCTCAACCACTCTAGAATAGTGGTGTCTAGTAGAACTGCCACAGGAGCCACACATGTAATTTGGAATTTTCTAGGAGCCAGATTTAAAAAGGTAAAAAGAAACAGGGGAAATTAACTTTAATACTATATTTTACTTAACCCCAATGTATCTCAAAATATCATTTCACCATCTAATCAATGTAAAAATTGTTAAGGAGAGATTTCCCTTTTCTTTTGTGTGAAATCTTCAAATCTGATGTGTGCTTTCTTCTTACCGAGCATCTCAGTTTGGAGCAGCCACGTTTCAAGTGCTCAATATACACACGTGGCTAGTGGCTACTGTTTTGGACCACGTAGCTCTAAAATGTACTTTCCCTTTTGTCTGTCTCTCCCCCCCAACCCTCACCCCCCCCCCCCCCCCCCCCCCACTAGAAGGCAGGCAGCGGCATGAGGGCAGAGATCTTTGTCTGTTTCGTTCATTGCTATACCTCCAGCTCCTAGAACAGTGCCTGGAACATAGTGTACATGCTTAATTAACGTTTGTTGAATGACACATTGCGAAACTGCGGCTGAGGTGACCGAGGGGTTCATCCCAAGGCTGCGGTGTGGTGGGTGAGGCCGGCAGCGGTGGTTGGTGGAGGGGCTCGCTGACAGGTGGAGACACTTGCAATGGGGCTGGGCAAGGAGGGAACTTAGAGTCCGATGTTGGGATTAGGGACAGAAGCCTCTTGGTCAGTGCCAGGCACAGTTTCCTCCTTTTAGCCACCCTGGAGATGGGGCTCATGATTTCTGCTTGGCTGATGAGAAGCAGGAGTCTCAGAGAGGGTGAATAACGTGCCCGAATTTACGCACAGCCGGTAAATGGCCAAGCCAGAATTTAAGCCAGCTTTCCCGACTCCAACTCTAGTGCTTGGTCCACCACACCGTGGTTGCCCTGGGCTAGGGCAGAACATCAACAAATGAAAATGAATCGTCTAGACTGAATACAAACAGCCAGAAGAAAAGTGGGACAGGGGGAGGATGCGGTGGTGGCCAAACCCAGGGCTGAAATCCAGAGTCCCCAAGTGTGGTAAGGCAAGGCAAGGCAAGGCAAGAGATGTCTCCAGGGGCTGGGGCTTGTCAGTGGAAGATCCGAAACCTAAGCACGAAAAGAATTGCAACATGCAGCCTTGGAGGAGAGAAACAGTCTTTAAATAGACTATGGGGAAAAGAAGGATAAAATGAAAATGTTGCATCCTTCAGTTGTATAAGACCTGCTCATCCCCCACCCCGGAGCAAGGCCCAGTGCCAAGCTGTCCCAGCTCATCTGCCCTCTGTGGGACTCACACCCTCCCCTCTGGCCTGGCCGCTTTTTTCCCTAGAGATACACAGTGCTCCTTCTCAACTCTGATCTGCCCAGCCTGAGTCCCTTTCCCTTTTCCCTAAACAGTGACAGACCCTGGCCATAGCCCCCAAAGGCCTGGGGAGTATTTGCTTCTCCAAGGACACTGCCAACCTACTCTCTTCCCCCTCGGCAAGGAGGCTGGGTAGATCCGTACAGATCTGGGT